GAGTGCGTCGCAAAGTCCCAATGACGTCTGTCCGCATGTGTGCTATCTGTGCGGGCGATTCCGACCGGCTGTAAATAGGTGGCATATGGCGCATCATTTGAGATGTGTCGCTGGTGGTTGCCTTAAGTTTCGCATATTTTCTATGTTCGGGGCGTAGCATTTATTTGCAAATATCTGCGTATAAAGTGGTCAAGAAGTGCATCATCGTTTTAAATGCAGCTTGTATGTGATCACTTGCAGCAGCGCTGTAGAGCGCCGATAAATGCAGCTCGTAAGTGATCACTTGCAGCAGTGCTGTAGACAGCCATCTGGGCATTGTAATCGCGTGAGGACTTTTGGTGCTATCCATTTTTGATGAAGTTTATTTGATATGGCCTTGATCCTCCAGTCTCCTCACTTTACCAGGTCAAAACAGCAAGTATAATTATATCCTACTGTGTAAATGGATGATGCGCGAGGACCTAGCTGGATAGTCAGATTTCTTATGACAAATCACGTAATGAACGTGCATCCAACCGGTAATTAACCACCGAGGTCATGCGTTTGGCCTTGACTTTGGGCGGTTTATCAACAGGCAACAGCCTTTGCTCTCATGTCTGATAGCCATAATTGCGACTAAGCTCTCCCAGTTTGTGTTTAGATGGTTCAAATATTACAGATATAGATAGATCAAATTATGTTATGTAAGTTGTTCAGTGCATTCGCAAAAAAACATTATTCACATAGATAACATAGTAGTAATAGCCTTTTTCCTCGGAGTAAAACCAGGATAATGGGAAATAGATTGGTTGATATTTCGGCAACATGTCTTTATCGAAACAAAAGCAGAAGACACAAATGATTTCCTATCGCGTGACTGGAAAAAGCTGTTTCCTGTTTACAGACCGCCCAAGGTGAACGCCACTTCTGTCATTGTTTCGATAAAGGCATGATGCCGAAATATCGACCAATCTATTTCTCTATTCCCCTGGTTTTTCTCCGAGGAATAAGGCTATTACTGCTGCCTTATCCAGACAGCATAACATGCATGAAGACCGCGGTTCAGCTCTCATTTGTACAGCACGTGACCTTGTCTCTATGCCTGGTGCAGCGCGTGAAACATTCGATGCCTTCCTATGTCCATGAGATACGCTTTTAAATGAAATATTTGTGGCAGCAGCCAGATGTTCCAAAGCAACATTTTAAGAATTTGACCTCGACTTGTCACCTTTATGCACATTTAAACTTAAGTTTGTTGTGTGGTCTCAGACCATACGCCACGGCGCTATCGATTGCGACTTGAATTATTAAATTCGACCCGGCCGTTCCTGAGATAAGCAGGGGAGGGGGGGGGGGGGGGCGGGGAAATCTGCCCCTACCCGGTCAGTGGTGTGCCGCCGGCGAGTCCGGTCGATGCCGGGATTAAGTGGAAACTTTACTTTAAGAACACCACAAAACAACGAAGGCCTCAAAGCATTAGAACCACGCACGCCCGTAATCTTCGTCCCAGATTAAATGTACCCACGTCGGTCTTGAACGTAACTTGAGTGGCATTTCTCTGCAAAGTAAGGTTCGAAAACAGCTCGCTAATCTTTGATTTGAACACTGGCGTCCATTGACAGGCTGCTTTGTAACCTTGAACTCGGGACGGGTCATCGAAACCTTTTGACTTGCCGAAAGTCTTCTGCTGAGCATTTCGTTCTGATTCGGGCGGCCTTAAGCACGGTGCCGTGAATTATACCTGTCAGGATGAGGGGACCTAAGTGATTGCAGTGATGTTTTTGGTAAGTTAATTTGTGCTCTTACATTTGGTGTGGGTCATTGGAACCCTTCGGCCTGGCTGTCTTCGCTTAGAGCAGTCGTGCACATAAAGCGTTTGCCAATATCTGCCTCACGATATGAAAAGGGAGCGCATTACTCTAGGGGCTTAACTCAATTTCCCAGGCAGCCATCTCCTGGCATTTGGCCCCTATTCAGCATAATCGCGGGAAAACGAAAACTCGAAAGTCCAGCTTTCAAGTTAAGTGGACATGTGAAGGGAGAAGTGGCCATTAAAACTGGATCAACGCATTAGATTTAGAAACAAAGTTTTCTGGAGGATCACGTGGGCCTTCCCGGCCCAGGACCCCTAGTGTACACATCAAGCAATGATGGCGTGTGCATGCCCGCCGATGTTTTTATAGCATGTTTTATAACGACATAATCATATAGCGTATTAACGTAACCACACAAGGCGCACAATGGTTTTGCCTTCAATGTGGTACGTAACACCACCTTTTCATATTGATCGTGTCCGTCCGGGTGCCTCATTGGGATAAAGCAACGGGTTTCAAAATGCTCCGGATATGCTCACCGGTGTCAGGCTGGGTTCCGGTCGCTTTCACCGCTCGCTTAAAACAAATCGATCATATTTTAGATGCTTGCTTGCAAGACATAAATGTATTCGTAATCTTACTGGAGTAAGCAGAGAACTGCTATTAAAAGCAAATTCAACCTCAGTCAATCTTGCGCACCTGAAATATTGCCGTCTTTACACCTGTTTGAAGGCAGCAATGCTATCGGCTTAATGCTGTCATAAAAAGTACTTAAGTGCTGTCGTAACCACTTCATATCTAGTTCCCATTATGGCCAAAACTTGACGAAAGTTATTGCAGCGTAAAAGGAAAGTTTAAGGTGAAAGAATGCTCCCAACGTCATGGCACTAAATCGTAGCTGGCCACGCCCACCGAACATGTGTTGAGCTTACAGAAATAAACCCTGTGATCAGATCATTTGGTCTTATATTCTGGATCTTCCGGGACCCTAAGTTAATTTCAAATTTTGTGGACACATTTTCTGTGATCCATGATGCATCAGTAACGTTGCTCAGGGATTCTCAAGGACCTTCGATGCTTTTAGATTTTTATTGAATGCTCTGCGATGCTCAGGCCAAGGCAAGGTGTCCACTTTGGCCTGTCTCTTTTACAACATTTGGCCTGAAAACAACCAGAATTGTGTTTGTCTGTATCTCATTATTCTGCAAAAACAGCTCTTTTGATACCCTTAGTGAAAAACGCTAAACTGCTTTGGTGTCAACCTATTTAATTCGAAAGCTTCTTTTATCCAGTGTCATTCCTTTTAAAGAGCAAATGATGCTGCTGACTATCTTGACTATTGACGTTTACAAAACGCAAACATAAAAAGTGTTTTTCCGCGCCAGCCAGGACGGGCAAGCAGGGCACATTGCATATTCACACAAAGACACACCTAAAGAGCGACATATATTTAAATACAAATATAAAAGGAATTGCTATGCAGTCAGCCTTCGTGTGGCGTGCTTCATGTTCGTGTCACGTTCCGAACGATTCCAACGATTCCAACAAAATGCACTCGACTCGCGTCACTGGAAACGACCCTGGCCGGACAATGGCTAAAGTGTCGTCGGTTTTTGGTCGTCTGGCGCTGTGTTCTCACTTTTCTTAATGACATGCACGTTGGGAACTACATGAAATTTTCCGAATAACCATCAAATAAATATTCCGGCCATGTACCATAGATAAGTCTTCTAGTAACCGTATTTACCCATTTGTACCCAAAGCTGTCTCATGTTGAGCTCGCTGAAATATCGGACAACGTTGAACCATTTGCCCTGATCTGATGCGATCTGACCAGGCCCAGTCGTATCTTTGAACCTGGAGTGTCTGGCTAGTGGAGCAGAACTACTACTGTTTTTTAGCTGACCCAACCCGGCCCTTAACCGAAGCACGGGGTAATTCACTTTAAATCTAAATTTTAAATGAGCCGTGATTTTCATACACATTTATCAGCATTTTCTCCATTTTGCAGATATTTGGATGTTTTGGCATCTTTGTTCTAAACGTCAGTGTTCATCTGCATAGCAAAACGCATCCACCGCGGTCTAGTGAATACGAGTGCGCCTCTCCAACTTTCAGTGGCCCACACCCACTGATCACCGGCTGAGCACGCTCTTGCGTGTTCAGCCGGTGATCAGTGGGGAGATGAGGCCTGTGCTTGTACTCGCAGATCACAGATGTTGTATTAAGGCATCACCATGAATGTTCCGTAGTTTTCAACAAAACTTTCCAAATAGTGAGTGCTTGACCTTTTAATTTGCTTGCTTGCTGAGGTATTGCTTTCCAAAATCGCTTAGGGGCTTAGCAAAAAGGTGGACCAAAGTTTCTCCCATAGCTGATTTCTTCCTGGATTTCGGCCACCTAAATTTGCGTCCTTGTTAGAATTTAAAATAACTTTGTCATATTTTGTAAATTTAAAACTGCCTATTTGCGTAGAAATGATTTTTCATTTCAGGTTAATGTGGTGAGCAGCATTTTTTATAGGAACCTTAGAATGGAGTTTAATTCGCAGAAAAAAACGTCGTAGTAAATCTGGTAAGGGATCACTGATGGCTATTGCTGTTGCTGGGCTTGCTCTATAATTACCACAGCCACGATTATGTGACAAATACACCTACCACTGTTCGGAAAAACATAGTTAACTTTCATTTGGACAACCTTGCTCTTTCAAAATACCAACCCTAAACTTTTGCAAGCTACCATATGCCGCAATCACTTGGTGTTATTCCAGTCCCGGTGTCATCATTTGAAAAAGTTGTCAAACGTTTGCAGGCCGGCTTAGCATATGAAGAGGTTCGCATGACGAACGAAACATCAGGAACCTGCAGGATATTATTTGGTATAAAATGCACAATGTTTTAATGGTGATGTGTTCAGGCATATGCTACCTAATCTACCAATGGTTTGTTCAGCAGATCGTTCTGTACTTATGTGGCCCAGTATACCCCTTTTACTCACAGGCATTCAGGGACTCAGAGGAGGATTGGGGTGGGGGCTCAAGCCAGGAGCGGGGGGGGGGGGGGGGTCTCAAGCCCCTGAAAGGTTGTAAAGTGCTTTGCTTACTTGCACTTTTAAAATGGATATTTCAGGTGACACACGCTGTGGTTGCCTGAGCCATGGTCTGTCCTGACCTGGCATGACCTGGAATAACCTGAGACGGGGCGGCAGGCGTGGCTTACGCCATCCGACAGGCCGGCCTGGGGTTGGGCCTGCTGCTGATCGTGCTGGTGGCCTGGATGACGGACGCCTCGATCGTCATGCTCATCAGGGCCGGCAACCTGGCCGGCACCAGCACGTACCAGGACACGGTGATGCGCGCGCTCGGCACGCCCGGCTACTATGCGCTCACCTTCCTGCAGTTCACCTACCCGTTCGTCGGTCAGTAACGCGTGCCGCGCCGAGGATACCGTCGGCGGTGAGATCTTTTGCCACTGGCGCCACAGCTGCTCACTGTACAGGTGTCTCGCGTTCTTCAGAGGGCTGTGATGTGAACGCGTGCTGTGCCAACTGGCTCGATTGCGCCAGGTGCGGGTTGTATGTGGGCGCGTGGTGGGAACGTCGATAACCACATGTAAAGTGTATGGTGCCAAAGGCCAAGGAAGGCTCTCCCTGCAGCTCCCAGTGGTGTGCTGTGGTGTTTAAATCACTGCGCGTAAGGGGTTTCTGGTGAAAATACCTATGTCGAGGAAAAGGGTTTTTAGTCTTATCTCGACTGTGGCCGAGAGCGTCTAATCTGAGACTCCAGACCCGTACATCTGGGATTCCAGAGCCGGCCGTCTGTAATCCCTGACCCGGCCATCCGTGGTCCCTGACCCGGCCATCTGTTGTTCCTGACCCGGCCATCTGTAGTTCCTGACGCTGTCGTCTGTAGTGCCTGAGTCGCCCATCTGTGGTTCCTGACGCGGTCGTCTGTGGCCCCTGGCCCAGCCGTCTGTGATCCCTGACCCGGCCATCCGTGGTCCCTGACCCGGTCATCTGTGGTCCCTAACCCGACACTCTGTGGTCCCTGACCCGGCCATCTGTCGTTCCTGACCCAGCCATCCGTGGTCCCTGACCCGGTTATTCGTGGTCCCTTACCCGACAGCCTGTGGTCTCTGACCCGGCCATCTGTGGTTCCTGACCTGGCCGTCTGCGGTCTCTGAACTGCCAATCTGTGGTCCCTGGCCTTGCCGTCTGTGATCCCTGACCTGGCCGTCTGTGGTCCCTGAACTGCCAGTCTGTGGTCCTTGACCCAGCAGTCTGTGGTCCCTGACCCGGCCATCTGCGGTCCCTGACCCGTCGGCAGCTCTGCTCAGCTACAACATCATCATCGGAGACAACTTCACCAAGGTGTTGATCCGGATGACGGGCGTGCCGGCCGACAACTTGGTGGTGCGCCGCGAGTTCGTCATCATCGCTGCCACCCTGCTCATCACCATGCCGCTGTCGCTCTACAAGCAGATCGGCAAACTCGCCAAGATCTCTTTCGTCTCCTTCGTCATGGTGCTGGTCGTCGTCGCCGCCATGGTCTACCGCACTGTCACCATGTGGGAGCAGGTGTGAGTACCGTAACAGCCTAGGCTAAGGAATGTCAGTCGTTGGAAGAGGTGTTACGGCACAAATTGTTAGATAGTAGGTAAGGTCACAAAGTTTGTCTCTTTCTAATTTGAGGCATCCCACGATGACGGAAACGTTCTAGAGGTTATTTTGTAGTCTGAATCCGCTTGTGCAATGCTCATCTCAGAATAACGCCCTCCTAGGCTAGCATGTTACATGTTATTCTGCATTTCTGCATGGTACACTACATATTGTGCTGCCCATACTACTGTAACACACACACACACACACACACACACACACACACACACACACACACACACACACACACACACACACACACACACACACACACACACACACACACGCACACGCACACGCACACGCACACGCACACGCACACGCACACGCACACGCACACGCACACGCACACGCACACGCACACGCACACGCACACGCACACGCACACGCACACGCACACGCACACGCACACGCACACGCGCACACACACACACACACACACACACACACACACACACACACACACACACACACACACACACATATATATATATATATATATATATATATATATATATATATATATATATATGCGATATATATATATATATATATATATATATATATATATATATATATATATATATCCTGCAAGTTCTGTGATCTGGCATGACGAGGAGACAAAGAAAATCAATGAATTCGCCCCATACAGAACGGAGCCCATGAATCGGCTGCTGATGACGAAAATGCCAGCAGAGAGCTTTTTTAAACAATGGTTATTAACCCTAATAATGACCTACCTTTCTGGGAGTTCAACCGCGGATCAACTGATAGTAGTGCAAATGAACGCCCTCGTTATTTCGAGGTTTGAGCCTGAAGTTATCAGCAGAGTTATCTGCTGCCCCCTGCAGGGCTGTGCAGTTCTTTGCAATATTGGAGTGACGGCGATCAAACTATTGAAGCAACAGACATTTTTACGAAGGCGTATGCTACTTTGGTAGCCTGTGGAATCTGAATGGCAGAAAAGGATAATTTCCTTAACCTGGGCTGATCCAATGCTCTTATCTCCACACGGGATCATTCCTTTCAGCGCTAAGTGACAAAGTGACAGACCATCTCGAGATCCTCCGGTCCGCACATGTGTTGGGCATGACTTCAGCAGAAGTGCAAAAATAGCGTCACGCGCTGACATGCACACTGCTAATTCTGTTTTGAATATGGACAACACACACACTGCCAGTTTCGGGGGAATTACGTGCTTTACTTTTTCCGATACGAATTCATCAAGCTGCCTGCAGCTGTGAAAATGTTGTTTGAAATTGAGCGTAGCATGAGAAGGGGCTTTGCTGTCCGTCTTACGGCCATTTTCGTGAAATGGCCCAATAGTTTGGTGCATATTTTTGTTCAGCAGATGTTACAAACATGGCATGTTTTGTGTCAACAGAACCACAAGTGTATTTTCAAGCGATGTTCATTACTAGGCCCAACCCTGGCTTAGTGTGTGCACTGCAAATCAGTAGTTCACCAGCCTGAGTAAAATTATTTCGGAGACAAGTTTTCAAGAGGGCAACAAACAACACAACTCTACACCAAGTTATTGACGACCGTTGTTTCAAAAGGCCAACAGCAAATGGACAGATGAGGTCATCCTATTTTAGGCCTTAGTGATAACGATTGTGCTCCGAGAATATTACTGGGGGAGTTCTGGCTTTTGTACGGGACCGACAGGGCGATGGCGATCTTAACACGATCGCCCACCGGCCGCCGGTACCATGGCGTACGGCCGGCCGCCGTGCTTTACCTCCCTGGTGGCAACCTATCCAACTTGGAAGGAGGAGACAGGAGGTCGAGACCAATCAATGGCAACCGAGGACGAGGGAGCCAAGTCCGGTCAGTGCCGTGTTGGTTGCTGGGGGCGGCGGCCGGTGTGGCGACGACATGCGCTGGTGCGGGGTCAGTGCCATGTTGGTTGCTGGGGGCGGCGGCCGGTGTGGCGACGACATGCGCTGGTGCGGGGTCAGTGCCGTGTTCACGTGCCTGACAGTGGCGCTGGGAAATTCACAGTAATGAAAATGTGTTTCTTAAGCGGGCTTTGGACGCCATAATCAGACGAGATTTGCCATTAAGGCGAGTGAAGAATGACTGCATACGAGCCAGATTGGATTGGTTTGAGGCTGATGAAGGCGGAAACTGACGCAAACCTTGCGGATGCATATGCACACGTGCTGTGTTAAAACTTTGCGACATTTAAGCTAAATGCTGAAAGGAATTTTGAGTCATTTTAGTCCAACTTATGTGAAATTGTTCTTATTGGCGTCCAAAAGGTCAGTATTATGACATTTCGATCAAAGAAAGCGATGCGGACTCATGTTCATGGTCGCAATTCGTCACAGACACTGCGGCTCTGGCTTGATTCGCTGGAAAACGCTTTAAGGAAGACGCGAAGCAAACCCAGTGCGGTAAATTCGGGCTTTTGTTGAGATAGCGGCCATCGGGCCGGTCATAGCCGTTGTGTTCTAAACGGCACTTTGCAGAGCACAAACATTTGGCACAAACACGCACAGCCTATGGAAAACAGGCAAATGTCTTCGAGTTGTTTTAAGCTTATGACAAATGCTGATGGCAGCCTGTGGCAAATACCTTTGATTTGTTAATATGCCACATTGCGCAGTAACGATAGTGGTGCTCACAGCGGTGGCTGAGTTTTAAGAATTCGAAAATGCCCCTTTCCTCATATTTTGCTTTGCACGATATCGGTGCAGATTTCATGCCACACAAGCTGTTCCTGATCACGATCGTTCCTTTACATATGTTGATTTTTGCGACAGCCACCAGAGATGTGGCCATCCTTGCAACAATCATTGATGACATATTGCTCCAATACGGCATTTTTGCGTCCTGCGCGGACCGCAGGTACTTCCTGTTTGTTTTATACTTGCTAACCATTTGTTGTGGAATGCCAACAGTCCAGGGTATAGTTTCTCCACAGGAGATTGGAGGGGGAACATAGCAGCGGCAGATGACGAAACCTATCCTTAAATTACGCCAGGAAACAGGTTTCTCCACGGATTTGACACATCTCCCTCTTAAGTAAAGGGGGGGGGGGAGGGAGCTCCAGCCCCGAGGTGAGTGGAAAACTAGGCTCTGGTTCGTCTTCTCGTGAAAAAAATATGGGCGTCACATGGCGTGTTACCTCACTATGATCGCATTTGGAGCTTTCAGTGTGTCCCCATTTACGACATGACACCAGGCTCTGGTCCAATCATGATTAAAAAATAGCAATGATAACAACAATAATGGTAATACAAATAAAACAATTACAAATAATAACAATAATAATAGAACAATTACAAATAATAATAATAAAACAGTTACAAATGCTAATGATAATGACAATAACAGTAATAATAATAATAATACTTAGCATCATCATCATCATAATCCTTATCATCATATTCATATTGATAATACCCACCATTCTCATCATCGTCATCGTCATTGTCATCATCGCTTTTATGCTAAAGGCAGACATGTGTGTGAATGTGTCTGTCCGCCATCGGTCTGTGTCTTGCCCAGGATAAACGGCGGCGAGTGTCGCGCGAAATCTTCAGACGACCCGGGTTTGCCGGCGACGGTTCGCAGGGTCACGTAACAACTCTGTATTTCGCAACGTCAGCGCGTGACGAGCGAAATGAAGTTGTAAAATTCCCTTGGAATTAACATTGGCGACGCAAATTTGCCGGCCATCGGCGCATGGCCAGGAAGGCGTCCACTCCCAGACACACATATATATATACATATATCGGCACATATATCATACATATATATATATATAGACACATATATCGGCAGTAACCTGCAGGAGATACAAAATTTGCGCTGCAAGATAAGGCATCGAATAGAGAATCGGCCGTCGGCAAGTTTGCGGTGTCACGTGGTGCATGTCACGTGCACACAAGTAAGAAAGATGAAGTTGCCATTTTTGACGGTCTTTTCGTCTTGGGCCACATCTCGGCACCCAGTGCAAGTGGATGCATGAGTTAAGTTCGTCAACGTTAGGCAATGTACCGCGTACAATTTCAGTATGCAACATAAATTTATGCGATACACCATTGCGCTGTAAATTGCGGCACAAGTTCCAAATCGTGACATTTAAAAAAGCCAGTGCCTTACATAACACACTACTGTCAAATCGTGATGTAATCGACACAAAAGGATATCTCAGCGTTATCTCTGAGATAACCTTTATATCAGCGTTAAAGGCGAAGCGAAGCATGCATCAGATGTGATAAAATAAGCTCAATTGTAACAGCCAGTATACATTTGAGTGAAAAAGACTGCTCTAGACAACCTAAGATATGAACCAGATATGAACCACTCGCGACTTATATTTTTCTTGGCCTTGATCGCTGTGTGGCTAATGGAATGACAGGATTTGAATGACTTTATAATGACGTCAGGGATGCCTAGGTGACTTTGAAACAGTGCCCGAAATAATTTGCACATCTCCGCAGGCATGCAGCTTAGAAACCAGGGGAGTTTACGTCTTAAGAAGGGCAGCGTTATGAACTGCACGGAATGGTCTTCAAGAGGCCTATTTCAGTCCAAAACCCCATATTAATGTGGAGCATTCCCTTAAAGCAAAATGGCTACCAGCGCAAGTGCGTCTGTGGTAGGCGCCCATCGCCGGGTTGTCTCACAGCCGGCGGAACACGGTGGCGACCAATTACATTACGCGTCCTCCTTGTTTGCCATCCTGGACCAAATGTCGGCAGCCACGGATCGGAGAGACTCGGAAGTGGAAGATTCGATAAAGAATTGGGCTGGCGATCGCGCGGTGTGGATTGCTGGGCGGCACGTGCCACGTGCCACGGCGACACGAGCCAGCAAACCGGACTTTGCCGTTTTGGTTGATTTTTCTGTTTTGCGCCACATTTGAGCACCTAGAGCTTGGAGCGACTTGAGACTGTCAAAACCCGATAGGAAATCCAGCAGCGAATCGCATGTTGCCATGCATGTGGTCACAAGCGCCACGTTTCACGCCGACGCGACCTGGAAAGATGGTTTGTTTTTGACGGGTTGACACGAATGTCACATCTTGGCACCCAGGACACGGAACAACTCGGGGGTGGCATGCTTCCATAAGGAATCGAGCAGGGAATCGTGAGGTGCAAAATGTGTGGTCAAACGTGGTACACGTCACGTGCGTACGAGCCAGCAAGATGGACTTCGCTATTTTCGACCGCTTGTTGCGTTTTGTGCCATGTCCGAGCATCCAGAACAGCTAGAGACGTGAGTCTAACTGCAAAACGCGGATTAATCAAATGTTTACATTTTAGAAAGAGCACAGCGAAGCAAGTATTCAGAATCTTGTTAAGCCTAAAACAAAATTATCTCGTCGTCAGTTTTTAAGCCAGAGATCTTGGTGACGCGTGATTTGGAGCCAACGCAGTGAGAGATGTGATGGTCTGCCAACAATCGGATACAAGTACCAGGTTAGTATATCAGCTCACTCCCCACCATTAACATAAGGGGAAAGGATGGTAGTAATGTGAGAAAACGCTGGAGTCTGCAGACCCCTCCTCCGATTGGAAGTTGCATGCAACTTGTGGACATGCACTCTATTTTTCGGGGCGCAATTTTTGGAGAACTGAAAGTGGCTAGTGCGGGCTTTACTGGATTGTTTTTGCTACACATTTGTGTGCGGAAAATCTGGTTTTATACAATCACACTGGTTCTGGTATCTTCCCTTGGCATATCAATGCCAGCCAAATACAATCTAGCCTACTTTTCATGATCTGATGGTAAATGCAATAATTTCATCACAATATGATGTAACCTAGTCTTAATTGGGCCGGCGGTGGTAAAGTTGTTAGGGTGCTTGGCTCCGTACCTGATGGTCTTGGGTCCGAGTCCCTGCCACGCCACCACCGCATCCCACATGGTATACGCTATAAATGCATCTCATCTCGAAATGGCCTGGCAGTCGCTGTAATGTCAAACCCCAATAATCATCGATCCAGTCTTATCGCATATTTGACCAACTGGTCTGGTTCTGTGTTCGGCATTCGTATGCCTACCACAGGCTGCATTTGCAGTTCCTTTATCTTTCTGTTCATTTTATCCTGTATCCCAAGTGCACCTGGTAGGTTTGATATGGTTTTCGGGATATCTACACACACACACACACACACACACACACACACACACACACACACACACACACACACACACACACACACACACACACACACACACACACACACACACACACACACACACACACACACACACACACACACACACACACACACACACACACACACACACACACACACGCACGCACGCACGCACGCACGCACGCACGCACGCACGCACGCACGCACGCACGCACGCACGCACGCACGCACGCACGCACGCACGCACGCACGCACGCACGCACGCACGCACGCACGCACGCACGCACGCACGCACGCACGCACGCATGCCAAAGCCTGCTCTGTGATCTATCTTATTTACATTCCAACTGCGGAAGGCTGAGATCATGCGTACAATATCGTTTCTTGTTTTGCAGGAACTAAACAAGCTTCCGTACGATAGGCCAGTAAATTTCCTCTGTGAATAACCAAGTGTGACCTTTGGCGCCTAATGAATTTTTTAGATATTAATGAATCGATAGCATGTAAACGACCAGAGTTCAAGCCAACATGGCTGATTTTGTACAAATTATGTGAACAGATACTTAAGAACCGCGAAAATAGATCCCTCAGGAAACTGGTGGGTAATTTGCTAGCAGCCGATGTTCATATCGGAGCTGCTACGCGTAGGAGTTCACACATTTAAAACCGATACAGCGTTATAAAGGAAGGCGCGCATGCTGAATAAACTAC